GGGGGGGGGGTTTGCAAAAATAAAACTACAAGGGGTCAATCCACAATTATATTATTTAGATGGAAATGACATGAAGAAAGCCAAATGTGATAGAAGATTAAACAGTAGCTGTTGCGTAGAGCCTCTGCTGATGATACACATTTAGTAAAGGAAACAAACAGTCAATTTCATGTGCAAATAAAAATTCCGAGAGTAATGATGGCTTAAAAGTCTTTTACTCCAATTTTCAACTCAACAGAAGCTCCTGTATCGACTGAAGATTTCCCATGAATCACAAATTTAGAGTTTCTAAGGTTAAGGGAAGTCAAAGCTTGAAATTTCTTGATTCAGTAAATTAAATTGTATATCTCCACACGAGACCTACAAAGAGACAGCTGGCCGTGACACATTCTTTTGCCATCTTACTTATATTGCTGTTGATAAAGAGTACATAATGTCATATAATGTCGAGCACACTTTTAAATCTCCAACATCATGGTGCAGTTAATCAGCATTATACGGAAAATAGTATTCGTTCAGAGCAAACATTTATTTACAACGGAGAGCAAGGAGCTTGGCCGCCATTTACATAGTAAACAAACAAGAATGAGTCTTAATGTGGTCCGTTTATGTAGTAGAACTCCTGAAACCTTTTTACAAGCTTAAAAATCATCTTCTTATAAAAATGGATGCCTGGACGATTGTAGGCAACAACATGTAGACAAACAGCTAAGCAACTTGTAATACTTGAAGCCTGTTTTATAACCTCTTGAATAAGTGAAGTAGCTGCAGTAACATAATATATTTATGAATGTAGTCATTGAAGTGGACAAAAGTAATACTTGCTGAACTGTGAAATATGAGAGGATATATCCGCCTATTCCAAGATTCTGATATTGTTCGGCCACAGTGCCACATTGAGTCAATGTATACACTAATGTTGCATCTTGTCTCAAAATATCATGTTATAAAATCATTCACCTCACACACTTGCAGGCGTATATATTAGCTACTTTAGACTTTTAGGGCTTTTCATATGGACCCAGACTTTTAGTTAGTTCTATATGTTCCTTTTTGACCTAATGACAATTTAGAATTTGTGATTTTCATGTACTATAACCCACGATTTTTTATTGTTTTTATCCATTTCGCTCTTGTGGGAATTAAACATGGGTACATAAAAATTTGCAAATATTATGAGCTATAACCCACAATTTTATTCATTTTTGCCAATTTCGACCGAATGACAATTCAATGCCTAAAGTTAAAAATTCTCAATTTTTATGGGCTATAACCAATTATTTTTGTCCATTTTTGCTTGTTTTGACCAATAACAATTACATATGTGTACTTAAAAATTTTCTGATTTTTATGGGCCATAATCCATGATTTTTGTCTATTTTGTCTGTAATGCATGTTTTTTTTGTTCATTTTTGTCAATTCGTATATAAAGGAAATTGCGTACACATAGTTAAAAATTGATGATCTCATAGGCTACAACCTACGATTTTTGTATGTTATTATCCCTTTAGAGCCAATGGTGTATTTCAAAAATTCTCGATTGTTATGAGCTATAACTCATAATTTTTTATTTTTTTTGGCCATTTAAACCCAATGGGATTGAGCTGCATAATTCAAAATACCTAATTTTCATATGTTTAACCCAAAATTTGTGTACATTTCAATCAATTTCGACTCAATGGGAATTAAGTATGTGTATGTTAAAATTTGTGATCTATGAGCTATAACCCACACTTTTTATTAGTTTTTATAAATTTCAACCTAATGTCAATCAAATACATGCAGTTAAAAAATTCTTGGTTTTCATGGCTGATAACCCACAATTTTTGTTTATTATCATCAATTTTGTCTTAATAGCACGTGGTTCAAAATTTTGCCATTTTCATGGGCTATAATACATAGTTTTTGTCCATTTTTTTTATTTCGACCCAATGACAGTTAAGTACGCTTACTTCAAAATTTACAATTTTCATAAGCTATAACCCATAATCTTTTATCCTTTTTTTATATTGATTGAAAGACAATTAAGTGTACAAAACTTCAAAGTTCACAATTTTGTTAGCTATAACTAAGATTTTTGTTTGTCATTGTCCATTTCAATCCGATGTTAATATATTGTGCATATCTCAGAACTAGAAATTTTTATGAGCTGTAGAACGCACAAATTTTGATTATTCTTCTCCATTTCGACCTTATAGCAATTATATGTACATCAAATTTTACGATTGTATGGGCTTTAACCAACATTTTTTAATCTATTTTTGCAAATTTCAACTCAATAGTGATTGAGTACGTGCAGTTCAAAACTTGGATTTTCATGAGCGATAGCCCGTGTTTTTTTTCTTTTCATCCATTTCTAACCGAATGACACATAGTTTAAAATTTGCGAGGCTATAATCCTATGATTTTTGTTCAGCTTTACATTTCGCGATTTTCATAGGCTATATTCCACGTTTTTGGTATGTCAATAGGCTACTAAGTATTCCCAGTACAAAATTCGCAGTTTCATGGATTATAACAAGTGATTTTTGTCTAGTTTTGTCTGTTTCGACATAGTGAAATTAGACACACTTAAATTCATTATGTTCATGGGATGTAATCCACGAGTATTGTATATATTTATTTATTTCAACCCAAAGACAATTGAGCACATGTAATTCAAAAATCTGCGATTTTATCGGTTATAACCCACATTTTAGTCATTTTCATCCATTCGACTTAGTGACACGTAGCAAGGCAATTATGTGCATGTAATTCAAAATTCTCGATTTTTATTGTTTATAATCCTAATTTTTTGTTCGGTTATATCTATTTCGATAAGATGGCATGTAATTCAAAATTTGCCATTTTGACAGGCCATAATCCATGAATTTTGTCATTTTTTTGTCTATTTCACTCCAAAAGCAATTAATTGCAAGCAGTTGAAAATTAGCGATTTTCGTGGGCTATAATCCATAATTTTTGTCTAATTTTAAATGAAATTAAACTCACTTATTTCAAAATTCATGATTTTCATGGGTTACAATCTATGAGTTTTGTACATTGTTTCTTTATTTCAATACGAGAAGAATAAATTACATGTAATTCAAAACTTCGCGATTTCACGAGTAATAACCCATGTTTTTAGTCATTTTCATCCACTTCGACTTAGTGACACATAGTTCAAAATTTACGATTTTCATTGGGTGCAACTATTCGCTTTTGTCCATTTGGACCCAATGACAATTACATACATGTTCAAAATTCTCGATTTTCATGGTTTATAATGCACTATTTTGTTCATTTCCATCCATTTCGACTCGATGACATGCAATTCAAAATTTACCATTTTTATAGGTTGTAAACTACGATTTTTGTCCATTTTTGTCTGATTCAATTAAGTACATATAGTTCAAAATCCGTGATTTCATGGGCTATAATCAATGTTTTTTGTTATTGTCTATCTCTACTCAGTGTCGACAAGCTGTCTATTTCAAAATTCTCTTTTTCCGTGAGCAGTAAGGACTAACGAATTTTTATTGTTTTTAATCTGTTTTGAAACAATGGAAGTTAAAGTATGTGTGCATCAAACTTTACATTTTATGTGCTATATTCCTCAATTTTTATTCATTTTTGTCCATTTCAAACAAATAGCAAATAAGTACGTGTAGTTAAATTCTCAATTTTCGTGGGTTAAAATCCATATTTTTGTCCATTTTTATCTTTTTGACTAAATAATTATATTTTTCATGGATTATAATCCGTGATTTTTGTCCTGTTTTGTTCTTCCAACCCAAAGGTAATTAGGTATATGTAGTTCTAAATTTGCAATTCCACAAGCTATAATGCATAATTTTTGTTTGTTATTTTCCATTTCGACTCAATGGGGATAAACTATTCGTAGTTTAAAATTCTTGATTTTCATGGGCTATAGCTCATGAGTCTTTATTTGTTTCATTAGTTTCAACCTAATGGGAATTAAGCATACGTACGTCAAATTTTGCGATTTTCTGAGGTCCAACCCACAATTTTTATCCTTTTTTGTTCGTTTTGACGCAATGTCTTATAAGTACTCATAGTTCACAATTCTTGATTTTTTATGAGCTCATACTTTTTTATGAGCTATAACCTACATTTTTTTTGTCTGACACTATTCGTTTCTATTGAATGTCAATAAAGTATGCATATTTAGAAATTCTTAACTTTCATCCTTTATTGTTTTTGTTTGTTTCAACCTTATGGGAATTAAGTATGTGTATGCTAAAAAGTTACAAATTTATTGAATATAACCCACAAATTTTTTTCCTTTTTTTTTTCCATTTTGACCTAATGACTTCAATATTTCCAATTCTCATGTATTATAACTCATGTTTTTTTTATTTTTATCCTATTCAATTTATGGGCTATTACGCATATTTTTATTCATTTTTGTCAATTTCAACCGAATGGCAACTAAGTGTATATACTTCAAAGTTCTTGATTTTCGTGGGCTATAGCTTATGGATTTTGTCCCTTTTTTATGTTTCGACATAGTGATATTTAAGTATGTTTACTTAAAAATTTTCTGATTTTATTGAGCTATAACTCATAATTTTTGTCTATTTTTGTCAGTCTCGACCTAATGATAATCAAGCACGTAATCACGATGCATGTTTTTTGTCCATTTTTGTAAATTTCGACACAAGAAAATTATGTACACGTAGTTCACAATTCACTATTGGATAGGTTATAACCCATAGTGTTAGATTGTCCTTTTCTATGCGTATTTTAAAATTCATGATTTTCATGAGCCCTCTATTCTTTATTATTTTTGTTCAGTTGGACCTAATGAGATTGAGTCTACATTGTTCAGAATACTTGATTTTCATGGGCATAACCTATGATTTGTGTTCATTTTCATGAATTTTGACTCAACAGGAATTCAGTATGCATATGTAAATATTTGAGATTTATGGGCCACAATTTTTATCTGCTTTTGCAATTTTCGACCCAATGGCAATTAAGTATGACTTCATAGATGATAATAAATAATTTTTGCTCATTTTTATCAGTTTTGTCTCAGTGGCACATATTTCAAAAAGTTTCGATTTCATGGTTATAACCCATGGTTTTTATCCATTTGTCTTTGTTTCGACCCCATGATAGTTAAATATGCTTACTTTAAAATTTCTATTTTCATGAGCTATAACCCATAGTTTTTTGTTTATTTTTTACTTTAGTCTAAAGACAATTACGTATACAAAACATCAAAATTCGTGATTCTATTAGCTATAACCCAGGATTTTTATCTGTTATTGTAGTATCGATTTTTATGAGCACTATAACCCATAATTTTTATTGCTTTTCTCTACTTTGGCCCTATGGGAAACATGCATGCATACATCATAATTTGTGATTTTATGAGCTTTTAATGACAAGTTTTGTTTGTTTTTGCTAATTTGGACTCAATGGTGATTACGTACGTGTAGTTCAAAATTCGCGATTTGCATTGGCTATATTTTGTCTCTTTCAACCAATAGGCAATTAAGTACCCTCATTTCAAAATTTGTGATTTCGTGGACTATGACTAATGATTTTTGTCCAATTTTGTTTGTTTCAAAATAATGAAATTAAACACGATTACTTCAAAATTTACGATTTACATGGATTGTAACCCACAATTTCTTTACATGTTTCTTTATTTTAACCTAACGTCAATTAAGTACACAAAATTCAAAAAATCGTGATTTCATGGGTTATAACCCACGTTTTTAGTCATTTTCATCTGTTTTGACTCAGTGACATGTAGTTTAAAATTTACAACTTCTTGGACTACAACTCACGGTTTTTATTCGTTTTTGTCCATTTTGACCAAATTTTTGGACAATTACTTACATGATAGTTGAAAATTCTCGATTTTCATGGTCTATAATGTTCGTTTCATATATTTCGACAGGATAACATGCATTTCAAAATTTACTATTTTCATGGATTATAATCCATAATTTTTCATTTCTGTCTATTGCAATCTAAAAGAAATTAAGAATGCTCAATTTAAAATTAGCGATTTTCTGTAACCCGCAATTTTTGTCCACTTTTGTTTGTTTCAACATGATAAACTTAAACACGCTTACTTCAAAATTCATGACTTTCATGAGCTATAATCCATAAATCTTGTACATATTTTTTTATTTCAATACAAAAACAACTAAGTACATGTAATTCAAAAATTCGCAATTTAATGTGCTATAACTCATGTTTTTAGTCATTTTTATCCATTTTGACTTAGTGACACGCAATTCAAAATTTGTGATTTTCATAGGTTGTAATCCACAATTTTTATTCTTTTTTGTCCATTTCGATCAATGACAATTTCATACTCAAAATTCTCTATTTTGGTGGTCTAATCAACTATTTTGTTCATTTTCACCCATTTCGACTCGATTGGCATGTAATTCAAAATCTACCATTTAATAATCTATAATACACTTTTTTTGGTCCATTTCAATCCAAAGGCAATATACATAGTGCAAAATTCACGATTTTGTGGACTTTAATCAATGTTTTTTTGTTCGTTATTGTCCATCTCAACTCAATGGCGATGAACTGCGTATTTCAGAATTCTTGATTTTCATGGGCAAATAACCAACGATTTTTTATCATTTTTGTGTGTTTTGAAACCATATACAGTAAGTATTCGTACATCAAACTTTGCGATTTTATGGATTATATCCTACAATATTTATCTATATTTGTCCATTTCGACCCATTGTCAATTAATTAAATTACGTGCAGATAACTTCTCAATTTGCATGGGCTATAATCCACATTTTTTGTTCATTTTGATGCACTTTGACTCAATGACACGTAGTTCAAAATTTATGATTTTCATGGACTATAACCCATGATTTTTGTCCATTTTCGTCTTTTCAATCCAACGGCAATTAAATGCACATAGTTCATAATTCGTGATCTAATGGGCTATATAATCCACGATTTTTGTTAGTTGGGGCCCGTTTCAATTCAAATGGCGATAAAGTATATGTAGTTTGAAATTCTCGATTTTCATGGGCTAATAAAAGCCTATCATGCATCTCTCGATATTTTGGACAGCTTTTGCTATGCAGCTGGTTAATTTGCTGAGATTAAATTTACTTGATTGTGAAATCATGCTACCGCATATATCCATGATCTAGTTTTAATATGAAAATAATAGATATAAGAGAAAAACTTATAAACTGTTTGATTATGTAATTTCTTCCGGGATGTGACAAACACCTGTGTTAGTCTATGCAATCTTTTACTGGAGCAAATAAATCTGATTGTAGGTACATATTTCAAGTTAAGCAATCCGACTAATGATACTAATTGGTCATCGAACAAATTATGCTCTTTTGATCATTTATTTGTATTTGCCCGCGTTGCCTTGTCCTTTTGATTTTTGGTCCACTTCTAAATTTCTTCATCTTGTGGTTTCTAGCATTTCCTCAAACATCCTTCCTAAAATTTTGTCCTATAATCGTGATTATTCTTGTACATGCAGTTTCTTTTTCAGGTTCGATGTTAACCCCCACCCTGTTTTTGATGATCAACCAAATTCATGTTTAAACTTTGGTTAAACCTGAGTACATGTCATTCTGTATTGTGCAGGTGATAGCTGGTCTCATTCCTGCACCAATCGAATCATTCTCTACTGGAATAACAATGAGAGACATGCGTACATTGAGAAGTCGCCCTCGCTGAAGTCATCCTCAGCTCCTTTCTCAGTAACCAGCAAAGGAATCCGAAATGCCACGTCACCCTGTAAGCGTGTCAGAATGATGTAGTTTACACAAATCGAAAGTTTCAACAGTTACAAATGTTTGATGTTTGCGGTGGTCACTGTATATTTCTTGAACAGGGGTGGTCTATTCTTTTGCGACTGTGAAGCACTTTGACCTTTTAAGATGTATTTCTACACATTTTCTGTGCGTTTTCAAACTACATGCCTTGCATTTTTGGAAATTTTTGAGATACATAACTCAGATTAAGACAAACTTCGTTGCTATCTATCTTCGTACGGGAGGCAGTTGTAACGTGAATGCGCCTTTGAGATTGAGCAATCAGCACATTTTGTTCGCAGAATAGCACTATTACTTGTGGCAAGGGGGGAATAAATAAATAAATATTACATTTTTTACTTTTCTTTTTGGGACAAATACTGTATCAATCCTTTTTATGACATGTTAATTAGTATGAGCTGATGGTGTTTCACCAACTAAAAAAGAGAAAAAGATTGACGTAGGCTGAGCTCACCAACCAAAGAGAAAGTTAATAGGGGAATAAACCCAAATGATAAAGTGTTAGGTAGAATCAATGAGTGAAAAACAAAAAGAAAAAACCAAAAATGAAGAAAAAGAAAAGAAAAGAGGTGGTTGGATTTGCCTACCTCCCAAATGAGGACCCCTCAAAATCTAAAATCCTTATCTAAACGTTGAATTGGATATGTTATGATAGTTTTAGTTTCGAGAGAAATCTTCTTTTTTAATTTAAATATTTCTAACCTCGCCCTCTACGTAGTACGGTACGAACAAGTACCTTAAGAAGAAAAACAACAAAGCTTATAATTATCCAATATTTCGATAAATAGGGATTTTTTTAAAAAAGATATTTTTTTGCTAAATATTAGCAAAACCGATCATTTTGCTAATTATTTATCAAAATCTACCTCTTTTTAACCAACAGACAAAAAAAGGTCGATTTTAAAAAACAACATTCTCAAAACATACGGGGCTACTAGTCTCGTATGTTTTGAGTGAACTAATCGCGGATAAGTGGATTTACAAAACGTACGGGACTAGTAGTCTCGTATGTTTTGAAGTTATAATCCTCGATTAGTTCACTCAAAACATATAGGACTAATAGTCCCGTATGTTTTGACTAGTCCCGTATGTTTTGAGAAGGTTGTTTTCTAAAATCGACATTTTCTTGGTCTGTTGGCCAAAAAAAGGTTGATTTTGCTAAATAATTAACAAAAATGGTCTTTTTTGCTAATTATTTAGCAAAAAAGATCATTTTTTAAAAAAAAATCCCTTTGTTAAATCAAATTCCAAACTGGAAACAATATTTACGCCTAGGACCTTGACTTAACTTCTATTCTCATGCTAGGCACTACAGATGAAGAGCATGAAGGATATAGGCCATGATAAATAAAACATTACAAAAACAATTTCTCAAATAAAGAACAAATAGTAAATACATTTCTTTATTTGGAATACAAAACTAGCTTAAATCTCAGGAATACACGTAAGAAACCAACAAGCCTTAAACTTTGGACTCTGAAGCTTTTGAATTCAGCATGTGAGATTTTGAGGGCCCCCTTATCCAGCAATTGCTTAATTAATTAATTACCCAATTTAAATTTAAAACAAAGCTTATAATTGACTATTAATTTTTAATTAAGGTCAACAACCAAGCAAACTCAGCCCTTCGTTCCTTTCAAAAGCTTGCCCTCAAAATCCCAGCCCAACATCATCACTGGTGGCCACCTACCTTACTCGGGCCCACCTTTGTACTGCTCTCTAGAGCCTGAAATACCAACCAAAAACCCATTAAAAACTATAAAATCAGAGGGTTTTTTTTCCATGCATACCCTCTACATCTATCATATTTGCAGAGAAGAAATTTTCTAAACAAACTCATTCACTTTTTTTAAAAAAAATCGATCCCCTTGAATTTTTTTACAAAAACCGACCTATTTTTTTTAATCTGGTTCCTAAATAGTCGGAGTTGTCAATCATGACTATTTAGTGCATAGAATATTAGGGTTTAGGGTTATAATTAGGGTTTTGCAACTTTCTAAATAGTCGGGGTTGGCAACCCCGACTATTTAGGAACCAGATTAATAAAAAATGGATCGATTTTTATAAAAAATTCAAGGGGATCCATTTTTAAAAAAAAATCTGAATGAGTTTATTTAAAAATTTCTTCTATTTGCAAACGACCTCTCAAATCTAATACATGCTAAATTTTCAGGTTAATTGCATCATTGCCAATGCGCTTATCACCTAGTTGGAAGTTCGTACTTATGTTTTAAGTCATTGGTGATTAGTTATGTACTTAAATATTAATTAAATTTTTAATCATTTATACTACTTTCCAAAATTGACACAATTATTTCCGGTGTGACACTTGACTCATTTGATAACCTATGAAAATAAAATGTATGACATATTAGCCAACTTGTATTGAGTGCTATGTTGAATTATGCATTTTTGTTATTGAAAATACCAGCTTGCGATATACTAATTAAGCTTTATTGCTTAAGAATAAGTGAAAAACACAACACAAATTGACCAAAAGTGTTAAAAATGACTAGCGATTTAATTATTTAAATAGCTGCCCACCTATCAAAGCAACTAAAATATAAATATAAACATTTAACTAGCAAATTATTATAGTGATTAGCTATCCAATCAACCCCTAATTTATCTTAGCATTCTTCGCGTTGAGTTAAATATCAATATCATTCAACACATAAATTTCAAAATGAATGAAAAATGGGGGGAAAACCCCTCCCTCCCTGATAAATAAGGAAGGTTGCTTACACACCCTTAAATAAATCCTAATTTCAGTCCGCAACCTGCACATTTGCTATTTTACTTTATCGGGTAAAAATAGTTCAATGTAGCTATAAAATGAAAAAAAAAAAAAATCAGCGTGAGAAAGCTAGGAATATGTTTGCAAATATACATGCTTGTAGGATAGCACAACTAATAAGATAAAAGTGAGGGGTATATAAGCAAGAAAAAAATTCTGAAAAACAAAAGACAAAACTAACCCTCGACTTTTACTAAAATAAATAACCCCCCTCACTCTCACAAAATCAAACTCACCTCTTGCGATCCTCGAAACCCGCCGTCAATGGCCGCCACCTCGTCCTCCATGGCCGCCTCCAGAGCTCTCTTGAGCCCTCAATCAGAGCAGCTGCGGTCGAGGCGGCGAACTCGCCGACGACGTCGGCGATCGACAAATCGGTCAACGCGATCCGGTTCCTGGCCGTCGACGCCGTCGAGAAGGCGAACAGCGGCCACCCTGGGCTGCCGATGGGGTGCGCGCCGCTGGGCCACATCCTGTTCGATGAGATGATGAGGTATAACCCTAAGAATCCGTACTGGTTCAATCGAGACCGGTTCGTGCTCTCGGCTGGCCACGGATGCATGCTTCACTACGCGCTGCTGCATCTCGCCGGATACGATAGCGTCAAGGTTTGTTTTTGTTTGCTTGATTGGTTGAATTTTGAATTTTGGGACCTGGGTTGGGTCAAAGCTTGGATCTTGGCGATCAAAGTTTTAGCTTTGATCCTCTCTTGTTTCCCAATAGGGGGTTACGTGAAAACCCCACAAAGTTCGGGGTTTTTTTTTGTGAAATTAACCCTTAGTTTTAATTCAGTATGGGTGATGTGACCATTGTTTAATCGATCCAAAATGAGTTAAACTGCTATAAGTAAGGGATTAAATACTGAGTATATGGGTGTAAACATTAACTGGGTTTGCTGTTTTGGGTTTATGAATGATTTTGGAAGTGGAAAACAATTCAGCTTACGAGAATCTAGTTAAATTGATGAAGTGCTTTATAATAATTAGGAGTCAGGTAGAGGGTACCAAAATGTTAATTAATAAATTTGCTTTCTGAAAGGGAGCCTTTTAGGGGTGCATTCGGTCCGGATACGGCTCGGATATGATGCTTACCATATCTATATCCGCTTACTCATCTCGGATACGGTTACGGATACAGATATACATCGGTAAGGAAAATTCATATCCATATCCGCTAAAATCGGATACGGTTACGGATATACATGCGGATATATAAGCGGATATGTATGCAGATACATAACGGATATGAGAAAGCTAGATAGTATTAAGAAAAACATAGTTCATGTGATACAAAAGAGTTCGTTTATATGTTCATTATATCTGAAAAGTTAAGATTAGACATCTTGATCATCAAAATTAACCACAAATTCATAATCTAAGAATTGAAACTATCGTAAGAGTATGACTAATATGTATTCGGATATTTCGGATACGGATACGGATATTTCACTATAAAACCATATCCGTAACCATATCCTATCGGTTATAGATTTGAGTAACCATATACGTATCCTAACGGATACGGTTACGGATATTTCCTCGGATACGGATACAGTTTAGCACCCTTAGAGCCTTTCGTTTGTTTAATTCAAGTAAAAAGAAAGTGATGTGACCGTTCTTTTCTGTTTTTAGCTTTGTTTTTTGTTTATTTTGTTGGGCTCAGATTCATTACTGAAACTTAGTACAGTTGAAAAACGTCTAAAATCCTAGTAGATTGACACCTAGATTCGTGTAATTCTGGGGAAAACATTATTTTTACTCCTTGAGGTTTAAATTCTTTTTTTTTAAAGTTAAAAAGAGTTCAAAATGTGGCAATTCAGGAGGAGGATTTGAAGGCTTTCAGGCAGTGGGGCAGCAGGACTCCTGGTCACCCTGAGAACTTTGAAACACCAGGGATTGAAGTCACCACTGGTAATTCTCGAATTATTCTCATAATATTTTCTGTTTTAAAATTAAATCATACTTGTAGTATTTATAGTTCCATTTGGTGGTTCTGCTGTTGTTTTTAGGCCCTCTTGGTCAGGGTATTGCGAATGCTGTTGGATTGGCGCTTGCAGAGAAACACTTAGCTGCGCGATTCAATAAGCCCGATAATGAAATCATCGACCATTATACGTATGTACCTACTGCATCATATAAAACGTTGTTATCCAATTCAGTTTCGTGTTAAGTAGACTTACGGGGATTGGGTACTTTAGGTATACTATACTTGGGGATGGTTGTCAAATGGAGGGTGTTTCAAATGAAGCTTGTTCTCTAGCCGGGCACTGGGGTCTAGGTAAATTGATTGCATTCTATGATGACAACCACATCTCCATCGACGGAGACACAGAGATTGCGTTCACCGAAAATGTGACTGCACGATTTCAAGCCCTCGGGTGGCATACTATCTGGGTTAAGAATGGGAATACTGGCTATGATGAGATCCGGGCTGCAATCAGAGAGGCAAAGGCTGTTAAGGACAGGCCAACCTTAATCAAGGTTCCCATTTTTCTTTTAACCTCTTTCTTGTCTGTATCTAAAGATGTGTTAGCATGTAATTTACAAAGGGATGGGTTTTATGTAGGTAACAACCACCATTGGTTATGGATCACCAAACAAGGCGAATTCTTACAGCGTGCATGGGAGTGCTTTGGGTGCTAAAGAAGTTGACGCAACAAGATTGAACCTTGCATGGGCTCATGAACCCTTCCATGTGCCTGAAGAAGTGAAGAGGTCTGCAATTTCTCACAAATTATTTTAGTCCGCCCAGCTACTTCATCCAATCTTTTCATAGGTAACGCCGTTAATTTTCCTCTTCTATAGTCACTGGAGCCGCCATATACCGGAGGGCGCTGCGCTCGAGACTCAATGGAATGCCAAATTTGCTGAATATGAGAAGAAGTACGAGGAGGAAGCTGCAGAGTTGAAAAGAATCATCTCTGGGGAATTGCCTGCAGGATGGGAGAAGGCTCTTCCGGTATATATATCTAAACTGTATTTAAATTTCTTCTATCGTTCTGTCACATATAAAATCATCACATCTGTAAAGTATGTCATTCAAGTCATTAATTCAGATGTGGGCTAAAGTACTTAGAACTTGAAGCATTCATGTAATATGAAAGTTCTCTGGAGATGGTTATAGAAAACCAGGCTAAATTATTCCACTTGAACCTGGTAGCTTCCAGCAAATCTCTCTAATTAAGGTTCATATTTAACCAAGAAAAGGTGGTGGTGTTAACATATCTGAAGGTGCGAAACAAGACCCTATAAACTGGTGCTCATTGTTCAGCCTCGAATATAATGGAGATCTATGAGAATCAAAATGGTCATAAAATTCAAGTTACCTCAAAATAATTAGCATGTTTATTAGTTACACGGAACATGCAGTGAATATTTTACATGTCATTAACGCAGTTGGACGACTTAGTTATTGTGAATTAATATATCTATGGAGAGGAGGGGTTTTGGGATCTCCTTTTCCTTTCCTTTAGTGATAGCTGGAGTGGTTTACCCAAAACATTGCATTCAAGAAGCAAAAAAGATGATTAAAAAAATGCTTAATCTATGTCTTGTACAAAAAGATAAATATTGGTAAAGGTGACGATAACAAATTCGAGCAGACATTACCACAAATATTATCCACTAATAGAAAAATTGTAAGTATTGCATCGGAAAGTGATGAACAAAATGGAGAACCATTTGACTAAGGAAAGTTGAACCAACATTTTAGGATAAACGTTGTTTAGTGTTTCGTTTGGCTAAGAATTGTAATACCAATTTACTGACACAATTTTTTGCGATTCCTATGGTAAGACCTACACAACCGAAAGCCCAGCTGACGCTACCCGAAATCTATCACAACAGTGCCTTAACGCGCTCGCAAAAGTCATCCCTGGATTCCTTGGAGGCAGCGCCGACCTTGCATCATCTAATATGACACTACTCAAAACCTTCGGAAACTTCCAGAAGGACACGCCCGAAGAGAGGAACCTCCGCTTTGGTGTCAGAGAGCACGGCATGGGCGCTATCTGCAACGGTATCGCCCTCCACAGCCCTGGCCTCATCCCCTACTGTGCCACCTTCTTCGTCTTCACAGACTACATGAGGGCCGCGATGAGAATCTCAGCCCTGAGCGAAGCTGGAGTCGTTTACGTGATGACCCATGATTCCATCGGGCTCGGTGAAGATGGGCCCACCCACCAGCCCGTCGAGCACCTCTTCAGCTTCCGTGCAATGCCTAACATTTTGATGCTCAGGCCAGCTGATGGCACTGAGACTGCTGGGGCTTATAAAGTCGCGGTTCTTAACAGAAAAAGGCCATCGGTCCTTGCTCTCTCTCGTCAGAAACTCCCTCAGCTCTCTGGAACTTCAATCGAAGGAGTAGAAAAGGGAGGATACGTAATCTCAGATAACTCTTCTGACAACAAGCCTGATCTTATTCTGATGGCAGTAGAAAAGGGAGGATACGTAATCTCAGATAACTCTTCTGACAACAAGCCTGATCTTATTCTGATGGCGACCGGTTCTGAGCTTGAGATTGCTGCGAAGGCAGCTGATGAACTGAGGAAAGAGGGAAAAGCAGTTCGAGTTGTTTCATTTGTTTCCTGGGAGTTGTTTGAGGAGCAAACTGAAGAATATAAATCGAGCGTGCTTCCCGAAAACGTGGAAGCCAGGGTTAGTATCGAAGCGGGATCGACGATGGGATGGGAGAAATATGTAGGGAAGAAGGGCAAAGCTATTGGGATTGATAGATTTGGGGCAAGTGCTCCTGCCGGAAAAATTTACAGGGAGTTTGGATTGACAGTGGAGAATGTTGTTGCATCTGCAAAGGCCCTGTAAGTTAGTGAGATATACAGAAGGCTTGAGAGATTTTTTTTTAGAGTTTCTGCAGATTGATGAAGAGTAATAAAGAATTATGAGTATTGGTCTAGTTTTCTTTCAGTTTTTTGTACTTTTTTATGTTGCATTTGCTGTTGTCATTGAGTTATTAGTAATGTATATTGTTGTCAGTTTGTTGCTCCAGTGGTTAAGCATTGAATTGTGAGTCTGTGACCATCAAGAGGAGGATTCAGTTCCTCCTCCGTTTCAATGAACTAGTGTGAACACCGTGCAAAACACGATATATTTTTGCTACAGTAATCTCGGTTTTAAATGCTACAGTTTTTCGTTTTTTGAAATGTTACAGTATCCCGCTCTGCTACGGTGACTCTTGGGTTCTCCCCCTTTGTATAGAGGAATAGAAAAGGGGAATCGTTATTATTTACCTCTTTTTATGCTGGTTGTTTTGTGTTGCCTTTTTTTTCTTTAGGTATATGTAGAATACACAACAGTAAACCTTAGGATAAATTTCACAAAACACCCCTTACGTTTAGCCGTTTTCGGACAATCGCCCTTGAGTTTTCCTGTTTTTGAGATCAACTGTCCAAACTTTAATAATATCACTTAAATCTCTCTCAAGTTTGTCTATAAATTCCTAACTAATACCGTTAGATCTGACTATGTGGCTGATTCAAATATTCAAAACATCCACCACGGAAAATGCCCTTTCTTTTCATTTTTTTAATAATGTTAAAGGTAATTTTCATGAAAGCCTCTTAAGCTAGAGTTATGAATTTAAATATTTAAAAATTAAATTAAATTAATGCAATATTCAGAGTGTTGATTTCAAAAGGATGTTTTTCTCTTGTCACCAATTCATCTGACACTGTTACTGGGGTTAGTTGTTAAAATTGGGAACATTTAGGGTTTTTGTGAAGCATCCCAAATTCAAAGGGTGGTTAAGTGAGATTTTCTAAAGTTTAGGGGATTATCTCAAAATGGCCAAACTTAAGGAGGTTTTTGTAATGTTTACCCTTAAACTTAATAATGTTGAAAACGTAGTTGTTTGATCTTGTTCAAAATTAAGATGACATATTATGCTTTGATTAATACCTTGACATTACAAAGTTGGATTTTATACTTAACATGACGCTCTCTCATAAGTCAAGTCGTTAGAACTTAAAAATGTATTAACGTCATATCAGCATTAATGATTCTCAGTTAGACGTAGACAACTAACTTCAGATCTGTTAATACAAAACCAAATTTTGAATATGTAACAGTATTTCACGCTTATTTGATGGTAAATATGCAAAGTTAAAATTATAACTATCGCTAGTAATCAACTCCTCTATACAAATGAGAATACAAGATTCACTATTCATAAGGACAAATTTTCAAAACCATCCGGTTTTGAAATTTATTCCCAAAAAAACACCCATTTCAACCTTAATTTCAAAAACAGACCTAGTTGGATGAAACTGGGTCTGGTTTTGAAAAAAAAATTTCCAAACTTCACGGGAGTTGAACTCCCGTGAAGTTTTTTCTCATAACAAAACTTTATGGGAGTTCAACTTCCGTGAAGTTTGAAATTTTTTTTTTCAAAAACCAACCCAGTTTCAACCAACTGGGTCGGTTTTTGAAATTAAGGTTGAAATGGGTCGTTTTTTATAAATAAATTTCAAAAGTGGATGGTTTTAAAAATTTGTCCTTATTCATAATATAGTAAATACTACAGTAGCATTATAACTGCAGCAAACATGAAACTTGAGTTTTTTTAAAAAATATCACTGTAGCACACGAGAATACGGTAGCCTATGATTACTGTAGCAAAAATGTGCACGGTGTTCACACTAGTTGTTGGAAAGGAAAAGATACGGAAGAGATTGTATTTTCAGACAATAATCATATATTTCACCAATAAATAAATTATAACACAAGTAAAAATGAAATCCAACAGTAAGATTTGAGGGTAGTTTTTGCAATATGCAAGTGTCATTAACGACCGACGGTTCACCCAAACTTGGCGGTGTGGGTTTTAGAATATGTTAGAGTCCACTCGAACGGAGGGATCATCCACATAGTCGCTCATCATGCCTGATTGTAGAGGCGTCAGGAGGACAATGCCTCATATGACAAGGATACCCATTAACTATGATTAATATATGTAATATAATATATATAATATATAAATTTATTATATATATATTATCATAGGAGAGAGAGAGAGAGAGCGAACGGAGCGGAAGAGCAGAGATTAATGTATCCTTGCATACTTGGAGGGATTTCCCCTTGACCGCCTTAAAATCACATGATGGAGCCGATATTGGATGATCCGCCCGCCGTTGAACTGTGATCTAACATATTGCTAAACCCCAACACACCAATTGGTGAATCCGTCGCTCGTGTTGACCCTCATGCGGCCGTAGTGAAAAGTTCTGATGCATTCAAAAACTTTAAAATTGATACGAGTGGATGAATGCGTCAGAACGACGACGGCAGATGACCCCAAAACTTGTCGCCGGCGAACCGCCTGGTGCTGGCGTTTTAGAATATGCTTAGATCAGTTTCAACGGAGCCACATCATCCACCCCAATGCGCCCTCTAATCATGTTGCGATTGAAGTTCAAGGAGGAAGATCCCCCCTATAAAGGGTAACTACTTAAATCTCACTATATATATATATAATATATAATTAAATATAATAATATATATATATGAATTATCATATATATGATATAGACGAGAGAGAGAAGGAGAGACAGAGAGCAGACAAACTTATGTCACACTTGACCTGTCCACCTAAGTTTCTTAGTCATGATGATCACTGATTGCGACATACGGAATTAGTGGATGATCACACTCTTAAACTGATTATATATTCTAAAACTCCAACACACAAAATTTGGGGTGAAAACCGTCGTGGTTTTGAAACCCTCCGTCGACGCCACTTGTGAAAAATTGCTAGTCATTCGACAACCCGAGTTAAATTTATACCGAGTGGATGAAGGGTCAAACCAGACGGGTCACAGCCAAGTCTGTGTGTTGGGAGTTTCATAGAAATGTACATCAAGTTAACGAGCGGATCACTCATAATATATGTCAATCCAAGTGATCATCAGATAACTAAGAAACTTGTTTGGCACGGTCCACGTAAGTTGACGCATAGTATATAATATATATATAGAGGGAGAGATTTAATGATTATCCTTATCAATAGGAGGGGATTTTCTCCATATACGCCTCGAAATAGCACATTGATCGAGCGACATTATAGGATGACCGCGCTCCCTTGAATTGATCTACAGAATTCTAAAACCCCAACACACCAGCTTTGGTGAACAGTCGTCTTGACCCTTCATCACTCGTATCAATTTTAACGTTTTGAATGAAATAGAGACTGTTTCACATGGCTCCCGATGGACAGGGTCTTCAAAAAACGACGAGAGACTTCACCCCAAACTTGTTGTTTCCTGGTTTAATATGTAGATTCAGTCTCATTCACGGAGCCCGATCATCCATAATCGTCGCCTCATATCATGTGATTTATAAGCATCAGGAGGAAATCATCCCGTTACAAGCGCATACCATTCAATCCTCTCTCCTCTCTCTCTCTCTCTTATATATATATATATTATACTATATACTATATATATATATATATATAAACTTATGTCAACTTAAGTGGACGTCCACTAAGTTTCTTAGTTATTGATGATCACTTGATTGACATATATTATGGATGATCCGCTCCGTTGAACTTGATCTACATATTCTAAAACTCCAACACACAAAATTTGGGGTGAACCCGTCGTGGTTTGACCCTTCATCCACTCGTATCAATTTTAACGGTTTCGAATGAATAGAACTTTTTACATGGCTCGACGGAGGGTCAAACCACGACGGGTTCACCCCAAATTTTGTGTGTTGGAGTTTTAGAATATATAGATCAAGTTCAACGGAGTGGATCATCCACAATGTATGTCAATCAAGTGATCATCAATGACTAAGAAACTTAGTGGACGTCCACTTAAGTTGACACAAGTTTTACTCT